TTATAGAGAATTTTCAGTGTAACTTATTACTATCTAAATGTAAATTATGCAAATAAATGGTGAAGCTGAACTGATTTTAATTCCTTACAACATTAATTTAGGTCAAATCAGCAACTGCATGAAGTCTGCAAAACTGACAAGCATCTCAGCACTAACATTTAGCAACTTGCTTGTGAATGGTTACTTATCTGTTTCTGTAGTTTACAACCTCTCCCTAACATATGTAAGATTTGAGGTTTTCACGGCAGTGACTATGAAGAAAGCAGTCTTCTGGGATGTGGCGCTGGGTAGATATTGTGTTAACCAACGTTTCAGAGGAATGTATCACTTCAATTTTCAGGGTAGATATTAGTCTGTTAGCACCAACTCATGCTGGTTCCTCGCTTGCGGATTTTCTTCTACCCTGAAGATGGAGACGATACGTTCCTCCGAAACGTCGGTTAACACAATACTTACAAGGCGCCACATCCCAGAAGACTGCTTTCTTCTCTCTCTAACAGTTTTTCTCTTAATTTGTCTATCATTTAATGAGACAAAACACCAGATTACAATTTCTAGTAACTCAGCTACTTATGTACCTGTTAGTCATGTAAAGTTGAAGTTATCCCTCCGCTTAATTAATTAAGCACCACACCATGAAGACACAGTGGGGTGTGGAGGTACAACTTGAACATTCCTGACCACAGAGCTGGATGGAGATGAGTGGTCAGCTTCATTCCCCTGCTCTATACAAAAGTAAGGGAATCACTTATTCATTAGCATAATCCTCCTCCTCTTATTATTACTATTATTTAGAAAAAGGATTAGCCATTTGCTTTTTCAGCCTAAACTGTGGCTCTATCCATCTCAGCCTCTGGTGTCCAGATCTCTACAGCTGTATACTTTGATATTCACAGACTGTTTAAAAACCTGGGTTCCATTCAATCTTTGGAGATACTCCTTTTGTGCATAGGATTTGAGAGGTTATGAAGAGTTCTATCTTCTGGAATATGCCACATAGTCCATTGAAAGTCAACAGATGTTTCTGAATAACAGGTCACCTCTGTCTTCAGGGTTGAAGAATACGTAGTCTGACAAGTTTGCAAACTCATCGCGGTAAAAGTGCTACATACCTCACTGCTGAATATCACTGTGATCACCTTCAAAGTACTCCCCTTGGGAAGCTATGCACCAATGCCAGCGCCTAGTCCAGCCTTCAAAACAATTTTGGCGCTGATTTTGTGGAACAACCTTCAGAGCTGCAGCTGTATTAATCCTGATGTTATTAATGTCATCATATTGCCTTCCTTTCAATATTTGCTTTATCTTTGGGAGCAGGAAAGTCACTGAGGGCTACATCCGGTTAATAGGGAGGGTGTCCCAGCAGAGTTATTGGTTTACTAGCTAAACACTCCCTCACAGACAATGTCATGTGAGCAGGTCCTTTGGGACCATTTCTGCACACACCTTCCTCATGTCAAGATTTTCAATTATGATTTTCCTAACTGCTTTTATGTCTATGTTGCTTGCTCTGCTATGCTCCTGAAAGTCAGCTGACGATTCTCACGCACAATTTGACAAACTTTTACAATGTTTTCTTCAGTTCTGCTCACTGCTGGCCATCCTGACCTCTCTTGGCCAGTGAAACTTTCTCTTCCCTCAGAAAAACGTGTCACCCATTTGTAAACTGCTGTTTTCTTCATAGCATTATTCCCGTAAACTTGCACTAACATCTCTCTGATTTCGCTTCAACTCATGCCAATTTTAACAGGAAGCTCCGACATTTTCGTGATGGCACAGTGAAACACTCAAGACAATAACAGACACCATTCAGAAAGAGACTGCCATAGATCAACAACAACACAGCTTGTGAAACATTGATATGCCAATGTCATCAAACCATACTGAGGTTTCTGTCCACTACTGCCATGGAAGGCACATGGAGAGTTTGTGAACTTTATTGCCAGACCTCATAAACCAACCAAGAAATCAGCTCTGCCTACAACCTGCTTTCAAGCTGGTTTCTTGCCAGCCCATGAAGATGGAGGAGAAATGTTGCTCTGAGATGTCAGTCAACTTTCAATGGACTACATGGTGTTATATCCCATAGGATAGAATTCTCCTTCTATCTTCACTGCCATATAATACCCAGTAATATTGGCACTGACATAAGACTTCAATATTATTTCTGTTTTAGTTTCTATCCATAGTGTCCTTGCTGCAGTTCCACATTTGTCTTGAAGCCTACTCACTTTTCTGTTAATACCATCACACTCATGTGTATGACCACAGCCAAGATAATTAAAATTTATTTGTTCTAATATTATGTTATTTAATATTATTGGTGAACAATTCGGTTACTTTCCTCTAAAAGCAACAGCATTTGATTTTGTGCCAAATACTTCAAAATTACAATTATTATATATATTATTCAACTGAAACTGAGTTTCCTGGAGACCATCTTCATTTTATTACATCATAATCAAGTAATCACTGATGCTAAAATACTCAGAATTATATAACTTGTTATTTTAAGTGCAGAATTTGTTCTACTCTTCAGTTCCCACAGGCCTTATCTAAATGTAGCATTAAAAAGAGGGAGAGACTTCCAATAGCCCTGTCTCATTCATTAATTACTTTCTGTTTCTTCTTAGAGTTGGTCTTTCCATGATTTGTATGTCTTTATGTACATATTTCTTTATATGCATATCAAATGGCCTGGGTAAATTCGTTATTTCCAAAAACTTCTCTCCGTCTATTTGATAAACTAGGCCAAAAGAGCAACTTTTTTTGTTGCTGTTACACTCTTTTATCGATTATCTGTTTAACTGCAAAAGCACTGCTAGTATAAGGCTGTAAAAAAAAGTAAAAAAAGAAAAGGTAAAAAAGTGAAGCTATCCCTGTACCAGGCCGTGAAGGCCCATAGGGTTGTGAGACACTGAGGGTCCCACATTATCTAGACAATCGACTCAAAGATGGCGGCAAGGTTGCCAGCCTTATGCACCGGCCACACTTTACTCCCCAGGAAAATTATTTAATTAATTCCTGGTACTCATTTCTGTTAGAGGCTGAGTCAACCCCAGGGCCATAGTGCGGCTGGAAGGATTAGGTCAAATGAAAAAAAATCCAATGACCTTATCGGAACTTGAACCCGCGACCTTCCGACTTTCCTAAATACATTTTTATTTCACTGTAATACGGGAATAGAGATTCAGCAATATTCTGAATTATACTATTAAAGTGCTTCCAAAAACAGTGTATCAAGCATTAAGAATGCTAATTCCTTGATAATAATCACAATTGTTTCTCCTTCCATTTTTAAATAATGGTATTATTTTAGTAATAATACCAATTTGTTGGAATTTTACATTATTTCCAGCACATGTTTAACAAACATAATTGTTTACTGTTAAGAGAAATTCCTGAAAATTTAAGCAGATCACCATTCATGCAGCCTGCTCCTGTGCTTTTCTTATTTTCAATTCCATGTAAAAGCGTTAGCAATCCTTTCATTGTAATCAGGTCTTCCTCTTCTGATTGACCCCCTTCTTTACCATTTTCAGCTGTATGTCTTCTAGAACTGTACCACAGTTCCCTGTAACATTCAGTCCATTCCTCTTCTTTGATATTGTTTATCAATGTCTTATCTTTCTCTTCACTCTGTAATTGTTCCATGATGTCAGAGGCCACATGTCATGTTCTCTTATGCTTATAAACTTATCCATGATGAACTTCTCTTATAACTGATTTAGCTAAGTCTTTTCTTGTCTTACAGATATTCCTGCCCTGTCAATTCTATTTATTTCTGGAGATAAATTTTATACACCTTCTTTTTATTGACACTGTTCCTTTAATTTGATAATTAAGATTTTTAGATCTTTTCCCTTCTTTTATCAGTTACTTCATCAGAACCTTTACAGATTGCTGTGCTAATGTTTTTCCATTCTTCATCAATATTTTTCCCCTGTAGTACTGTATTCTGGTATCCAGTTACATTAGTTGCAAATTTATACACACACACATGTATACATGTAAAACAAATTTGTTGTGGCATGCTGTTTCTACCAGCCAGTTCATGTTTACAATATATTTTGGCTGTATATGGCCATCTTGAGGTACATTTCTTGGGTTGACTGTTTCACTGCAGGAGTCACTTTCAAGTACCCACATATGACAATATAAAAATGTAAAAGTATAAAAGTTCTATGTCAAAATTGGACCCTGTTAATATAAATTTACTTAATGATAAAAGGAGTCTAAGATATGATGGTGTGTGTGTGTGTGTGTGTGCATGTGTTTATAATCGCATCTCAAAACATGCATTAGTATAATGGAAAAGCATGGCATGCAACAACATCCAATGATGACTGGCACTAATGAAGAGAACACAAAATTACACTGCACACAATTTTTAGCTTACTCTTCTCATTTTGACAAAAATAGAAGTANAACAGCATTAGTATAATGGAAAAGCATGGCATGCAACAACCAAAACATCCAATGATGACTGGCACTAATGAAGAGAACATAAAATTACACTGTACACAATTTTTAGCTTACTCTTCTCATTTTGACAAAAATAGAAGTATGCTTATGCAATCACCATGATGTCTATGTATCACCCCACCCATATTAAATTTTGAATACCTGAACCAATCTTCATGAAACCTGGTACTTATTACATGGCACTTGAGCCCATCCCAGTGGCATACCACATAAATCCTTCCCATCAGTCTGTGTGTCTGTATACGCAACTCCTTATCAGTTCTAGGTTAATGGATATGTAGAAACACTGCTTCGGCATGAATGCCCACAAAACAGCAGATAAATTGTTGGAAGTATCATTTTGTACGTGGCGTGTGTCACATCAAAGGGCAGTAGGCAATTAGGTCTTCACAGAACTTCTTGTTAATTAACTACTTAATTCATAGTAACAAGGTAGAACATGGACATAGAACTTCACATTTTTATACTGCTGCATACTTGTAAGTGATACATGTGCAGTGAAACTATCAATTCAAGACACATATCTGATGATGGCCCTATATAACCAAAACCTGTTGTAAACACATATAACACATTAATTAGGCTGCAAAAACAAGATTATACAACTAAACAGCTGTATTATAAGGCTGTTTTATACACACTATACTTGCCTCCTAGTATTTCCCTTTCATAACTGCTTACTTGTGACTGATATAATCTTTTGATACTTGGTTCTTGAAGTAACTTAATTTTGTACACTTCAGTGTCCAGCCTTCTTTGCGTCTTGTTTCTTGGTACTTCCAACTGTGTTAAGGGCTAGATTATAGATGTAATCAAATAATGGCCAGAGCATATGTCACTGGCTCTGTATACCTCAGTGCCTCATACTTGATTTGATAATTTTTATTTACTATCACATAATTTGTAAGTGATCTTGTGCCACTTTGGTTTCATGTATATTTGTGTATATACTTCTTCCTAAAAGGTAATTTCTTATCTTCAAATTACTGACTGCAGCAAACTGACAAAATTGTTGCACATACCCCACCTCGGCAATAGATCAAGGTGAGTAGCCAAGTGTCATATCCTTGGGGATAACAGAAACACAAACCAAAATAAATTAATTTTTTTAAACATGGTCTCAAAAAGAACAAGTATGCAGGCTACCTAAATTGTTTTTAAGACTGACATCAAAAGATATATGTTTAAATTTTATGACAAGTAAATTTATTTTATGATATGCAATCTAAGTTTCAAAATAAAGTTGTATTGCCTGAAGAAACGTGAAGTCTATTTTATAGCTTCCCTGAACATATTGTAACGTGTTTGGAGTAGGTACTTCCATGGTAACGCAATGACAATGAGCCGTTGCGTAGACAATGCTGAAACAACGAACGGGTCTCCCTGGAGATGAACAACAGAGAGCTTGTGCTCGTTGCATAACAACGGACTGTTGGAACAGCGATAACAGAATCATGAGGAATGGTGTCTGTTATCTGGTCTGCATAATGCCTATATAAGCAGAGCTTGAGACACGTATGAATGAGACAGTCTTGGGATAGCCGCCGCTGAACACAGTCGAGATCCGGCCACGGCCAAGGACAGTTGAGATGTCGCATTGAAGTAGAGGCAGTACTTGTGATACTGCAAGTGGTAATAATTGTAAGGTATGTAACAGTGAGTGTCCAATAAAAGTTCACTAAATCCTAGACCCACTTATCACTGAATCCACGTAGAAGTGACAATAAGAGGTTATGGGCCCACGATCATATTATTGATAAGTATAAATAGTAAAAAGTGATACTGTTTTGCAAAATTATAAAACATGAGATAAGTCTTGATGATGATAACATGTTAACTGGTGCAGGTTTTGGTGATGTTAAACTTGTGAATGACAATTTTAGCCATATCTCAGATGTACTGCATGTACCAAAATTGTCTACAAATCTGTTATCTGTGAACTCAATTGTAAATAAGGGTATGATTGTGTTATTCACCAAAGACTGTTGCAACTTATATGATTCTGATAATTTTGAGGTAACAGGCAAAGTTCTTGCCAAAGCATATCCTGAAAATGGGATTTATTGTTTAAATACCAAAGCTAACTTGACCCAATATGCAAATACTGCAACTAAAGATAAGATTAATACCAAACAGAATAACGACAAATGTGAAAAATCTTGTATTAATACTGTAAAGAATGAACAAGTTGCAAGTACCCAGCAAGTTGGTGAACAGCTGTTGTGGCATAGGCGTTTGGGGCATTTAAATAGGGTTAGCATGCGGTTGCTAAAAAAAAAGGTTTAGCTAGTGGCATCGATTTTCAAGAACAAGATCAGACAAAGAAATGTGTTCCATGCCTGGAAGGCAAGATGACAAAGAAGCCTTTCCTACAGTTAAAGAAAAAATGGTCAAAAAGGGAAACTTAATCTATTACATTTAGATCTGGTTGGGCTATTTGAAGTACCCTCTAATCGGAATGCTAAATATTTTTTGACTATTGTGGATGATCATAGTAGAAAAATCTTCATTGTTTCTTGAAACAAAAAGGTGACACATATGAAGCCTTTAAAGAATTTATGAGAATGGTTGAGACAGAAACTGGATTGACTATAAGAGCTGTTCGTTCCGATAACGGTGGTGAATTTTGCGGCAAATTATTCAACGGCATGCTAAAACAAAAGGGAGTTAAAAGGGAATTCTCTGTGCCATATAATCCAAAACAAAATGGAACTGCCGAACGAGCTAATCACAGTATTGTGGAAAAACAAGATGTATGTTGTATGATTCCGGCTGAAACAAAAGATTCTGGGCTGAAGCAGCATAAACAGCCGTATATCTTTTGAACAGATCACCTGACAAGAAACTAAGGAACCAATTGCCCGAAGAAATATGGACATGAGAAAAGACTGATCTCTCCCACATAAAAATTTTCAGACGTCCGGCTTATGATCATGTACCATCAGAGAAACGCCAACAATTGTAAAGCGTGTGAGCGTAGAAGTGACAATAACGGGTTATGGGCCCATATCCTGAAGGATATGATATTAAGGGGGAGTCTAATAAAGTTTGTAAGTTAAAAAAATCAGTTTACAGACTAAAACAAGCTGTTAGGTCATGGAATAAGAAAGCAACAGAGGTTCTGAAAAGCCTAGGGTACAAGCAAACTTGTTCTGAACCATGTATTTATACCAAATAAAAGGGCAATTCTGTAATTAATATAGCATTGTATGTTGATGACTTCTTCATATTTCATAATGACAATGTCGAAATTGAGAATTTAAAAAGAAAATTGCAACAATGTTTTAAAGTCAAGGATTTGGGACTGGTTAAGAAATGTCTAGGAATGGAAGTGAACAGAGACGGGGCAAAGAAAACTATAAAGTTGACCCAAACTCAATATTTGAACAATGTTCTTAAGAGATTTAATATTCCTAATGAGATTAAACCAGTTAGTCATCCAATAGAACCAAATAGCAAATTGAAACCGTTGCCTAAATCGAATAAATCGATCGAGAATCTAGATGATGTGCCATATCAACAAGTTGTAGATTCAGTGATGTATTTAGCCGTCAATAATGACCGAACAAGCCATATTGACATAAGAGTTCATTTTGTAAGAGAGTGGGTTGAATCAAAGGAATTGTCAGTACATTACATTCCTGGAAATCAATTAGTTGCTGATGGTTGCACGAAAGGTTTAAATGTATGGAAATATACTGCTTTTATTAATTCCCTTGGATTGTGCTAAGAATAATGTTTCCAAATGATGTTCTAAATAATAATATTTTTTTTATATATTGATTAATGAATAAGTATTTTTTAAATTCCCAAAACTGTTTATGGGAGAGTGTTATGTTGGCAACACTCTAATGTTAAAATATAATGCTAGAGTTGACAACGGCGTAGTAAACAATTTTCAATGATAGACTGTGCTACATGTGCTGTTCCTAATTTCTCTATTGTTATGTGTTACTACGGTTATGTGTGTAAAAACATAAATTCTCTATTGTTATGTGTGTGAATACATATAAAACACTTTTCATGTATCAAAAGGTTGTCTTAATAAAGCAGGGTTAGAGTGAGCACTGATTCTCACTTATCATTCGATCCACGTAGAAGTGACAATAACAATTTGTCGCGTGACATACCCGACACGTGACAATATGTTCAGTAGCGCTTCTATAATTCAGGCTTTCACTAATTTGGAAAGGGTTTGCTCCCACTTAGTCTGAATTAATTAGGTCTTACTGTATATCTAGCAAACACATTTCAGCACTGTTTCATCAGAGCTGTTACAAGGTATCATTTTAGCTTCCTAATTTAGTGAAAGTGCTATGTGAATCTTGTGGAAATATGTTCTGGTACTCCAGACACCAAATCACCAACATACACCACAAAGCAACAAAACACCAGGCCATTGACCAACCCACCACAACAAAGGATGATGTGGAAAGACACAAGATCAGGTCCTCCTTGGTCAGAGTGAAGCAGTACTGATCAGGAAACAACAAATATGACTGTTATTTCGGGCAGTGTCAATCAACTTGACCCTTTCAAACACAAGGCCTTGGAAACTGGATCTGTTTACATCATCAAATTCCCACAGTCTGGATCACTGGTGATTGAAACAGATCCAAAATATTGTGTTCAAAAAAACTTTAGAAAACAGACAATGTCCACAATAAATGTTTACCGTAACATATGATCATCAGAACCATCTAGGCATGGCTTAATGCTGATGAGTGTCTCACAGTAATTCTATTAAAATCACAGTCAAATTAAAAGCTATGAAATGAATATTCACAATGTACAAAGGAACAAATTAATAACACTGGTTCAGACATGACAAGCCTGGGTTCCTGGTCACAAAACATTCAGACAGATCTATAGAAATATTAAAGAGTTTAACTACATAGAAACTCATAAAGTGTTTTCTTTCAAATAAGGAGTGACACCAGTCACCAGACCTCTAACTGCATAGTGACGATCACAATATAATTTCACCTTGTACACAGTCTCAACTTCTCTAATGGCATTTTCTGCCTTCACCCAGCTGGCTGCTGCCTATGTCGCCACTTAAATTTAATCACAGAAAGTACAGATTTGCAATGTAACATTATACAGTCCAGTTTGCATACTGATTTGTCATTCAGTGACACTCATATCAACCATGATGTTCAATGGCAATAGTGGTAACTATAAGCAAATGAGGCAGAAATTCTGGAAAGGAGACACCATGCCAAGAAAATCTCAAGCCGGCTGCATCCTCAATAGTCTCGAGTGAAGTTCCAGCCAATGGTGATGTGTCAAAGGACTTACATATGGACCTAACATGATAATGATTTGAAACAGTCTTTAGGTTGGTACTATATGCTCCTGAAGTAAACACTGACAGGAACTGTTTCCACACAACCTTCTACATTTTGAACAAAACAAAACTAGCTGCATGGTTCATGAAGGAACAAACATAAATGGTGCATTTGTGGGCACTGCCTCTTGGAGATAGTGCTCTCATACTGAACATCATACTGTCATAATACAGCATGACTCTCGTGTGGGTTAAAAGGACTAGCACTGACAACATAACAAAGGAGAAGACATAAAGTGTGGTATTTATCACCTTCTGTGAAGTGTAAAATCCTGGAGATGCTTCCGAGCATGGGTTCTGTTACAGGAAAGTGATAGCTACCATTAAAGTATTTGTAGCCTGTCACAGAGAGTCAATATATAATACCTGCATTGCAAAACGCAGTCCATGTCAACAGAATCCTAAATCGTGCTGACTCAATCTACACGTGACAGAGTTTACATCAAGTATGTACACCACAGCAGGAAAAAAAGATTTCAAAAAAACATATTCACAATACTGAAGTGTCCCACGGCACAGACACCAACATCAAAGTACTACCTATCTTCTATATCTATAAATACAGTTGGTTCCAAGTTCCTTTCCACAGCACTGCACTGCACTACATGCCATATCTGAAACACACAAATTTCATGATGTTCGCATAATGTGAGGCATTTTCAGGGATGGGCAGATTGTGTTTGCAGGAAAACGAAATTAAGAATCCTGTGTACCAAGAATTCACTTCTTCGAGATACATGGGTCATTCAGTAATTAAGTGGAAAACATGTAAGTTTCAGAGGAGGTGCCATCTCATGTGATGTCATGATCTCACAAAACTGCCACAGATATCTGCAGTGACTATTTCAACCAATCAGCTGTCCTGTACATAAATTTATGTGAAATACATGGGAGAAGAGAATCTGTGGGAGGTGTAGGGGCCAGAAACTAAACAAGGGGTTTGGGGAATCAGTGCCAATCAGGAACTGAGGGACTTATATAAAACCCCTGGATCTGGCAGCGGATACTAAGAGGAGAAGACTGGAGTGATCGGGGTGCATGATGAGAATGGTTTCATAAGAAAGAGACTGGAAAGTAAGTCAGATGGTAAGAGAAGAGTGGGAAGGCCCAGGCAATGACAGCAGAAAGATGTAAAGAGTGATTTAGGAGAGCTCAAAGTGAATATATGGAGCCAAACACACTACAAGACTGGCATCAGATAATGGTAATGGAAGCATCTAAAGTTCCATACTCATTTTCACTGTTATCCAACCATTTTTTGCACATTTCTTATGTCTACAGGATGTCCCAGGAGGAAAGGTCATAGCACATGTACATGTCTTATTCCGAATGGTTTACGAGACAGAGCTATGAAAGTTATCGCCCACATAGAGGAATGTCAAGATGCACTCAGACAAAGAACATGCCATGTCCACACACGAGCTGCAACGTGTACTGATGCTGACAGTGGAATTTTCAAAAATGTATTATACTAGGTAAAGTATACCAACTTTGTCACTTGAACAATAAATACTGGTATCAGAAACAGTCATTGGATTCTTTCAATTTACCTAATCCTTCCAGCTATATTATGGCCCTGGGGTCAACTCAGCCTCTAACAGAAATGAGTACCAGGAATATTCTTGGGGGTAAAGGGCAAACAACCTTACCACCATCTATGAGCTGACTGCCTAAAATGTGGGAACCTCAACATTTCACAACCCTATGGGACTCCATGGCCTGTTACAGGGATACCTTCACTTTTTTTTTATTAGAATCAGTATGTAATAATTCTTTCTTACAAAGAGTTTTGGAACTGTGCAGTGAAACAGCTCTATCTCAGAAAATTTTCAGAACAGGACACATGTACGGATACACTTCTTGCTTAGAATGACTGATACTGTGACCTCCCAGAATATTGACCTTTCCTCCTGGGACATTCTGTATAACAAAGCTGGTGGCATCAGTGGCCAGATGAAGTTACCTGCAGAAGTGTATTCAAATACTAGGTGGTTCAAATATGACCGGGACTGATTTTTTTGTAAACAAGCCACACTGCACAGCAGCTGTGTGACCTTGAGAGAGTGAAGCCACAACCTCCACCCTCCCTCCTGTTAGGGTTAGAACCTGTTCAGTCCTGTCTGGAAGTTGCTAGAGTGATGAGTGAACAGAAGGTACCGCGGAGCATGGAACAACACATTGTGATCAAATTCCTCGTTGGAGAAAACGTCCTGTCCGCTGAAATTCACCACAGACTCCAACAACAGTATGGGGAAGAGTGTCTCACGGACCCGTGTGTTTGAGTGGTGTAAGTGCTTCAGAGAGGGCAGAGAGCACGTGGAGAATGAACCGCAAGATCGTCGGCCACGAACATCCATCACCAAGCCAAACATTGATCGTGTAGACGCACTTATTCGTGAGAATAGGCACATCACTATCAAGGAACTTGGAGCAATGCTGTCCATCAGTGTTGGTAGTGTAGAAGACATCATGAAATACCACCTGCACGATGGGTACAACGCACTTTGCCGGACGTGAACAAAATGGTGCGCATGCAAGTTGCTAGTCGTCTCCTACAGCAGTTTCAAGATGAAGGTGATGCATTTTTGAAGTCTACAGTGACCACCAATGAAACGTGGGTGCACTACTTCATTCCCGAGTCCCAGCAATCATCACGCGAGTGGCGGCATACCAGTTCTCCTAGACCCAAGAGAGTGCGGAGGAACCGTTCGGCAGGAAAAGTGATGGCAACGTTCTTCTGGGACTGGCAGGGGTTATCCATGTAGACTTTCTGACAGATGCCAGAACAGTCAATGCAGCTTATTACTCAGACCTCCTGGCAACAGACGTGAAGGAAAAGATCCCATCCAAGCGGAAGAGAGGTGAAAGCAGGTAGCCTTCCTTCAAGACAATGCACGCCCCCATACGGCCAAAACAACAATAGAAACCCTCTGGAAATTGAAATGGAACCTTCTGACACATCCGCTGTACAGTCCCGATTTGGCACCAAGTGATTTCTACCTGTTCGGAAGGCTCAAATCAGACTTGCAAGGCATGCGGTTTGTGGACGACACCGTCATCCAGAATGTTCAGGAGTGGATACACCGCCAACCACAAGCCTTTTTTGAAAAGGGCATCAGGATGCTTCCAGAACGTTGGGAAAAATGTGTTGACTCTGGAGGGGAGTACGTTGAAGACTGACATGTGCAAGTAAGTGTTTGGCAATTTTGGTTTAAAAAAAAAAAAATCAGTCCCGGTCATATTTGAACCACCTTGTACCATAATGATGCCTACCAACAGCACTTCTAGAGACTAACTTCGATAGTTCATGTTCACAGCTCACAAAGATCTGCTATGTCCCTTTTCCATACCCTAAAATTAAGCTATGTAATCTGTTTGACATAACAAAATGGCTACCAAATTCCAAAGAACAGCAATACATACAGTGCAATTAATTTATGTTTAGCAGTGAACAGTTTAAAACACATACCTTCATACATTTGGGTTTCACTCCAACTCTAATATCATTACGCCACCCTTGGGTGGCAGCGGTACATATAACTACGCTGGATATCAATGGAAGCGATACTGCCTCGCTGCTTTAATGCTCACATATGTCTTCTTCATGTCATCTTCCTCGTCCTTCTTCACCTCTGTGAATCGCTCACCTTTCAAGCTGACTATTTTGTTATCCCGATACCTAACTAGCTTCTTTGGTTCCTGAAACATTACATGCCTTATACAGTAGTCTAAATTTTTCTAACAGTGGTGTGCAACAATAAATATTATGCTGTATCTCAGCATCCTGTTGCAGTGGATATTAGAATTTATATTCAGTTGTTTACTGCCTACCATGCAACAACATCAAGCTTTAAAATTTGTCACTACACTACATGTTTCAGCCTAACTTGGCCATCATCAGGTGTGCTGAAATTCAGAGGAACTGCCATGCCTTCCGTGCTACTGCGTGACATCCACACTACACATGATGGGCAACCCGCTAACTCATTCAGTCGCAGTGCCACAGACCTCTGTCATAATCTACTACACCATAGTGAAGGCAAAGAAAAAGTTGTCTGTTGTATTACTATACACATTTTTAGCCTGCACTGACTGACATGAGATTTGATTGATGTCCTGATGGGTATTTTTTCCTGAAGACTGTCACTGTTTTTATTGTTTTTATTGATGGCAATGACCACAGACAGCAAGAAGGCTGCCTACAGTGCACCCAGATGTGGCCAAAACGCTGACAACTGTAGCACTGTGTAAGCCTGTTTTAGATTTTTAAGCTTTGACCTTTATATCTATGTTCCAGAATGCTGTCAAGTTGAAGATTTCTGGAGCTTTCTGAGTCCTTGTTAGCTTAACTAGTTAGAGGAGAAGGGAGATGTGCGTGACCCCTCCTTCTGAAGTGGGATGTCTGAACAGACGCTGAACATTTGGAAGTCATGCATCTGACAAAATATGGGCATGACTGAGATGGGTAGGGAAGGAGCAGAATCTGGCAAGACTCACAATGTCACTGCTTTCTGCTGGCATGTGCATTGCAGATGTTCCAAGCACAGTGAGACTGTTGCATTATGGTCAAAATAAACATTTGGTTCTCTGCTACCTCTTCAATCTTACATCAGGTTAACAATTTGTAGTTCGAAACATAGGACATTGATTTACTATAGTCTCATACAGAAGTCACCATAATTTTTCACTGAATGTGGTGGACTGGCAAAGTGTTAGTTTGTTTGAAAGTACTTTATCAGATGAAAAAGTACACCCTTGAATGACACTATTTTTCACACCATGTCAATGCATCAATAATAAAAGTGCAGGAAATTATGAGTTTGTACATGAATCAACTTTGTGAGTAAAACAACCATTTGTTTGCTGGGTTAATTAATCACAATTCATGTATTTGTACTTCACCTTACATACAACAAATGAAAGATTTTTCAGTTACATGCATCCTGGTATCTTTCAATTAGCCCTAAAAACTGCCAGAACTGAAACCACAATTTAAAATATATGTTTCTGTAACTTTTATAATAAACACAAATTAGTCCTGCTATGGCCAACAGACCCTCTGTAACAAAAAATAAGTGCAACTAACTCAGGCTCTGCTTGTATGGATCAGTCTCTGGTCGGCATTCACTATCTCTTTCACTGCTGCTGACACAAACCTTGCCACTGGTCACTTGGGTAGTCAGTTCAGCATGCCTGCCTAAGTCGTTACTGCATGACATAATGCATTATGCAAGCCTGGAACCTGCCAGATGCCAATTTGACACAGAATGAACTGTGATAAAACATGACTTGGCTAACTTAACAAGCTATTCTGTACCAGATGCCATGGACAACTCAATTTTTACTGTGGACACATCACATGTCCAGTCATCAATTACACATAAGACATATCAGAGCAACTGAGATGGGTACCTGGTGCTGATGCTCAATTATGCAACAACTTTTAGCAAAACCTACACACTGAGAGGGAATTTGTTTACTGATGACTACCAGGGAATTCTGCACTCTCAATGAAGCGATTAAAACTGCATAGATCAAAATCAACTAACATTACACATATGCAAAAGTCTCCAAGCATTGTCCCATGTACTTACAGACTTAGGCCCAACAGGACGATGTTCCCTTATGTCATCATCTTTGTCTACATAGCTGTATCGGGCGATAATTCGAGATTTGAGCTCCTGATCATCCACGACTGCCTTCTGCCTTTGTGCCATTGGCTGAAAAAGATCCCAATGGCTGTCAAAAAATTTGTCAATCCCTGAGCCAGTTTCCAATGGCATAAAAGCCACACAAAGTGGTGCACATCAAGCCTTCCCTTCTTTCCCAGTAGCATTTCGTCAATTTTAACCAAACATGACAGGGACTCGAACTCCAACCCCTCATTCGTCCACCCCATAACTAGTCACTATACCGACTGTGCTATTCCAGCTTATTGTGGACACAGCGAAGACAATATCTACTGCTGGGAACTGAACTCCAGCTGTTCAGTCTGTACCATGTCAATTTAAGGAACAAGACAGCACAGTTCCACTATACAACATAAAATCTGTTCAGCAACAAATGATTTAAAAAATGTGTACCAGCGACTTAAACCTCAACTGAGACCCCTGCTCATAGTTCTGCAGCACATTAGTTATCTACATCGACTGAAGGGAACAGAAAAAAAAAAAGTAAAGCTATCCCTGTACCAAGCCGTGAAGGCCCATAGGGTTGTGAGACGTTGAGGGTCCCACATTATCTAGACCAAGGGTCTCCAAACTACGGCCCGTGATGTGATTTTATGTGGCCCGTGAAAGAATTGTGCAGAAATGCGCCAACTGAACTAATTTTCCAATGAGTACTGGTAAATGTGATTCCGAGCTTATTGACCTGACATATTATACTGCAGTTCGATGGCTTAGCTGTGGAAAAGTTCTTTCGCGCTTCTTTCAGCTCAGGAATGAAATTGATATATTTCTTACCAAGAAAAACCATCACAAAACACTTTTATCAGATACCAAGTGGCTTTGGAAATTAGCATTTTTTGCTGATCTGGTGAACCATATGAACCATTTGACTTTAAAGTTGCAGGGTGAAAATAACTTAGTCTGTGATTTATTTGCACTTATCAAGACATTCAGAGCAAAGTTGATACTTCTGGAAAGCCAAGTGAAAAATTGTAACTCTGTTCATATGCTATACTGTGCAGAGTTGCATAAAAAGGGTGAAGCAGAATTTCCTCCCTCATGTGCAAATGTAGTCATTTCAGATTTGAAGGAACAATTTTGGAAGCGATCTGCTGATTTCGATTCCAGTGCTCAGGAAATTAGATTGTTTCCAAATCCGTTTGACTGTGATGCTGCAGATGTCCTAAGTCAAATTCAAATGGAAATTATTGAACTTCAGGAAAATTATCATATTAAAGACAAATACAAGGAAGGAAATTTGATCGAATTTTATAAATTTCTGAACTCTGAGCAATTTCCAAATTTAAAGAAATTTGCTTGTAAATTTATCTCC